GGTCAAGGACGAAACACGGTGCAGCAAATCTAATCATAATAGTGATCTTTACAACAACAAGCACGCTTTATGACATTGATCGGTTTCCAAAAGCTGTAATTTGAGCGTTTGAAATGGTTTCACCACATGCATGCGGGATTCCAAACAGGCCGCCGCACTTTGGTCGGAGAGCCAGTAATAACGGAGTTCAGCTTTACTAGCTGTAAGAGAAACTTCAGCTATGTTTGGACTGAAACCGCTTCAAAAGCTCGGGGAGACTGTGAGCTCGACTTTTAACAATATCACTTCCAGATGTTTCATTAAAAACAACTTTCAAAGAGCTCACTTAAAGAAAACCTTCAAGGCGGAGACGGGCCGGGGTTTGAGAACCCGCAATTTTTCACATTTTCATTTCAGTCAGAAAAACTGCCTGAAATGTATTTCACTGCAATGGAGCCAGTAACACTACTGCTGGTCTCTCAGCAGCAGTTACAACATACACAAATCGCTGCCCTATAGAACAACAACACAGGGCAAAGGTATCCAAAGGGCTGGAGTGCACTGCTCTGTTACAATGCGACAGAACTCACTGAGAAATGCAGCTGATGCGAGACGCAACAGGAAGCTTGGCTGACTGAAATATAGGGGTGCATTCATTACAGTCTCCCTCTTGTGTCTCTCATCAAGCTGGCTAATGCTGACTGGCGGGCTCTGACCCAGTACTGCGCAACTCCTCTCTACTGCACCCGCCTCTCATCAAGAGCCTTGGGTGGGGAAAAAATGGAGTAACATGCTGTTTACTCGCAATCCCAGGCCCGTAATTGCCAATTTATTTGATAGGCAGCCGGGTAATGATGGCATTTCACCCCTTGCCGCAGAGACTAAACGGGAGTGATTCATCCAGAGCTCCCTGCCCTCCCCGATCCAGCAAACTCCCTCTGCTCAGGACTGCTGCCTGCCTGAATGCCTGCCACCCAGACTGAAGGGGTGGGGTGCGGTGGGGGATGTGGGGGTTAGTTGCCATGTCGGCTTCAAACAAACCCAAAAGGGAACCCGGAGCTTCAGAGCAAACGCAGCTAAGCCTGCCAATTTAGCTGGGGTTTGGGGCTGAGGCAAACACGGCCGAGCTGATGTGCCATTTGTAGGCCTTAATGAGCTGGCAGGATGGAGTGAGGAGGGAAGGCGAGCGGGAGAGTAAAGGCTGCCAGGCCTGACCTCCTCTGGCCTCCATCTCCCTGCCAGCCAGCGCCAGGTCGGCAAACTCAGTTCATCTGCTTCATCGGAGCGAAGTCCCTCCGTGAGGGGAAGGGAGTGCTACAGCAAATATCATTAGCGAACTGTTGGTCTAATGAACAGTTGGGGTCAAAGCGAGCTCATGTCTCACACTGCTCCCTGATACTAATGAGTGACTTAGATGCTTTGTCTTTGTTTTCACATTGCAATGGAGCCTCTGTGCAGCAGGACCGCGCGAGCGGTCCAGATTCAGTGCGCGGTGCCACGTTTCAAACACAGACTTCTGTAGCAACGGACGCACGGAGCGAGCTGCAGGCATGCAGCTTTGCTAGTAGTCTGTCATACTGTCAGTATGGCAAAAAGTCTGAAGAAGCACGTGGGGACAGGAGATGAAGACCCTGTTGTGTGACCACTAAGGCAGTGGTTCCCAAACTTTTTCTGCTAGGCCCCCCAAGTTTTACAAGAAAAATGTCCGCCCCCCCACATGCACGAACACATCCTCCAACCACACGCGCCCATCTTTTGCTCCATTGCAGTTTATTTCACACCTCAAACATTTAGTAAACAATTAAGCAAATACAAGTAACCTGCAATAAATTACAGGTAGTAATAAAATAAACTACTAACTCTTTTACGCTGCGTCCGCACCTACACGGGTGTTTTTGAACACGCAGCTGTTTCGTCCACGTAAACGGCGTTTCGAATCACCGAAAACTGAGATTATTTAAAACTCTTTTTTTGCGTTTACATGTGGACGAGGAATACAGAGTTGGTCACGCAGCGTCAAAGGTATGTGCCTTTTTTCACGTCACGCTGTGGCCACGTGGCCATGAGATGAAATGCAGAATGAAAGAGACAAAATACTGTTATTCTGACTGTCTGCAGGTTTACACGCAGTTACTGTCCCTGCATTTACAAAGGCAGAGGCGTCACAGTGTCATTATTTTACTGTAGTTGTTTTTTTTCCTGTGTAATAATGTTCAACATTGCTGTCAATGCATTTTTCAAAAAACACCTCTCTGTGCAAAATAGGTTTAAAAACAAACAGCTGTAGGATCCTGTTTGTCTGTGACTTGAACAGCCCAGCGCTGCTCCCGACGCAGGGGAAACCAACCCTGCAGGGAGACCTACCTCAGCACCTGTGCAGGTGAAGCCAAAGGGAAGATTTGCTTCACCATATTTTCTAGTCTTTGGAAACATATTCAGCGATGCTTCATCTCCTGCTTTGCGTTTCTGTGGGCGCCCCGTGCTAACTGTGTCCAAGCGTTTTGTCCCCCCCCCCTTTTCATACCGCGCCCCCCCTGCAATGGCTCTGTGGGCGGGCCCCCCACTTTGGGAAGGTGTGGACTAAGGTGACGTGGGGGTCTTTATGCAGCCCGGCTTTCAGCACATCGTCTGGGACACGCTCAGTCTGCTGTGATGAAGCAGTGGGAAGCAGCGCTGCAGCAAAGCACACGGTTCCTACATGAGAAGATGCAACGACAAACAAACTGGGAACATCATTTTTAATTTAGTTCCAATAAAATACACATATGCTAACACCTCTCATGATATTGACTTCGAGGGCTTATTTCATATATCTAAATGCAATTGAATTAAATTCAATGGCTCTTAGAAGTCGCTGAAAAACAAAGGTGGACACAGTGTGCAGTGCACATCATCGCAGTGACGGAGCAAAGTGTTTACCCACTGAAGTCGAGACAGATCGTACTGCGAACAGTGGTTTATGACTCATTGAATGGAATCTCCATCATTTATTTGAAATTACAACATGATTATGTTTCCATGCAAATACTTAAATGGAGGTGAACTAGAATAAGGAGGCAACGAATCAGGACTTTTACAGGGAAAAAATGACTGTACTGCACGATAAAGTTTATTGCAGACTGAAATTAAGGATTGCATAAGTACTTTCAAGTAGTACATAACCTTTTAGTAAAGATTGCAGGAAAACAAAAAATATTTCCCCCTCTGACGATCTTTGTGGGGGGGCAGGCCATATTATGGAACAGCGTAATCTGTCCTAACGTCTGGGTTTTGTGCGCTTCTTTGAAAGTGATGTTTAAACAGCGATAATGAAAGAAAAGAAGTTCACCTCAGTCACTGTAAGATCACACAGGCCGGCATATTTGGATTTACTTTATTGTAAGTTGGTAAGGAGCAGTCGTTATCACAGTTACACTGTAAAATAAAAGAACAGCCGAATATTAGGATTTCCATCATGGACGTCAGCATGCTGCACTTTGAACTACTACGTAAAAAGGACAGATTATTCCACTCTCAGCCACGTATGTTTACATATTGATGGTGCAATATTGCTTTTCTGAAAAAATACCGTAAAATTAGACACAACATCACGTTAATTTAGTTACAGTTGAATTATTTCTCTGTTTCCTGTAAAAACCTGACCAGTTAAAGCCTCGCTCTGGTTCGCCTGCCTTTACATATTTGTAGGTAAATATAATTACGTTGTCATTTCAAACAAATTGTGTTGAAATTGCATCTAATTACAGGCTGAGTTGCAGGCTGCATTATAAAGCGTTACCTAGATTCCTGCCCTGTTATTCAAATCTGCAGTGACATCAACTTTTTTCTTCACGATACTGAGCAATAACACGATACCATGAGAAACCGACTCATAGCATTCTGTGTGACAACAGGAAACATGATTAAATCAGAACTTACACATGAACTAAACTGGCTTTTATTCTACGTTCTTGTTTCAAACCTGTGGTGCAGCACGAGGTTGTTAGAGGTCACGGCAAAGCTGCCATAGTTTTCACGTGTCGGCCGTACGGATCTCAGGTGAGCAGATTTAAAACCTCCATCGTTTAAGCAAAATGTGTCCCATCACTCTGCAGCACTGTCACTAAAGTGCAGACAGAAATCAGCAGATATCATTTCAATTTCTGTTGTCAACATCAAATTACTTATTTCATTTCATGCCCAGTCGAGCACTGTAAAGCTACACGCAGAATCAGTTTTGCTTCAGTCGTTCGGCCGTGTCTTTCTCAAAGACGAGCTCGCCTCCCTACTGACAGCTTTAATTATGGCCACATATCTGATCGCTTTGCTGTAGATTCTGCACACAAATCAAAGCGCAGGGGTGGGTGTGCGGCAGCGAGGTCCCACGAGTCTGCTCGCTTTACATCTCGGAATATGTCGCAGGGCGAAGGGACACGCGGCCGCTCGTCCTTTTGTCAGGTTATACTTGCCTTCAGCTCGCACACAATGAATATGGAGCGTTTTTGGGTGCATTAATCATCAAGAACATGTCAGAGTAAGTGTGTTTGTTTCAAATGCAAACAGAGACTGGACTTGGGTGCTTTCTGAGGTCCAGCCTGGATCAGTCAAACCCAATAATAACTTACCTTTAGTTTGGGTGAAAAATGCTGGTTCATTGCAATATAAATTTCAACTGTAACACTGCTGCTACTGCAACATGAACTGGCTTTGCAGTAATACAGTGCAGTTCTTTGAAAGTGCAAGTGTAATGAAATAAACTGGAAGTGCAGGCACAGCTTTCATTTTACAGCGTTTTAAGGCAATAAACAGTTCCTGCTGGGTTTAATCTGTTTAAACAGAAATATTATCAGTAACCACAAACATTTTGTAAGGCTGCTAGCAAGTCAGATCTTAGCTTTACAGCTCAAGGTAAATGCCTTTTTAATATGTGCTTGTAATTAAATGACCAGGCCATCTGCATATATGCAGGAAATATGTTACACTCTATAAAAAGAGCGGTGACAGCCGGCGAGCAGCAGGTGTGCTCGTTGTGGTGCTCTTACGTCTGTCAGTCTGTCTCTGGAGCTGCTCCTGAAGGAAGGCTTGGACTCTTCGCTTACACTCTCACTGTCGCTGTCCTTACAGTTGTTCTGCCCTGGCTTCAGCTACAAAAACACAAAGAGAACAAGGGTTAAAACACAGAGTGTTAACGTGCACTTTAGAGCTGCGCACGGATCGGCATCCCACAGAAACCGGTGCAGAAATATGTGAGAACTGGCAGGAGCTGCAGTGCTGTCTCTGTAAATCTGTCATGTTTCTGAGCCTACTCGGTAGCCATCACTCCACTTGCCAAAGATAGACGCCATCTGATCTCACAGTATGAAACTCCTCGCAGCCCACGAAATAGAGAACAGGGACAAAGACCCCTCCAGAACCTTCAAATGGAGCCACCGTCCTTCCCGAGCAGACACCACATGCTGAGGCAGCAGGAGCTCAGCAAGTGTCATCCTCTAGACACTCTGTTCAAGATGCAGCAAAACGACAAGAATAAAGAGGACAGCGTGGCTATCTGTGAGCGTGCGAATCCTTCAAAATCTGGAGAACAATAAAAGACTCTTGGGAGACAAAGCTCAGCGGGAGAAGGTGGGGTCTACATTCCCAGCTCGAGCCTGCGACTGTTGTCCGGGCTACTTCTGCGAGACGAGGCAGATGCCGCAGGTTTCCTTTCAAAGCCAATAAAAAGCTGGCTTGTAAATAGTTGTTCTGCCACCTAATGGGAAAAGCAGAGAGCCGTGCCCCACATACTGTACAGGAATTGGACTACGAGATTGGGACACAAGAGGGAGCTGACATAGAAACAGCATGTGCTCTTTTTTAAAGCTCTCCTTTCAGGATCGGCCATCGTTTAGCATGATGAAAGGGCACAAGGTGTGGGAATACCGAAAGAACCCTCGAGCTGAACGCGTAATTAAAATGAAAACGTTCCCTTTTCTGGTAGCCATTAGCTGTGTGAAAAGAATCCTGTTCCTTAGGAGAATTGCATGATGGGTAGAAGGCAAGTGGATTCACCAGAGTGCTGAACGTGATAAGAGTCTCAGCGCTGGGAATGCCTGATGGGCCGTAAGGATGAGTCTATATGTCGGCCCGAGCTCACGCGCATGCAAAGCAGTGCCCTGCACCGTGATAGCGCTAATTACATTCTATTCTCACAAAGCACAGGGCGCATTTTCTCTCGTTTTTCTGGAAATGCCACTTACTCTGAGGGGACTCGACATGTTTTTGCAGAGAAAAGGAGAATAATATCTCATCGAGCCCGGTCTGTGAACTGATCCTTGAAAAAAGGGCGGTGGATGTTGTTTATGCCCCAGTCCACAGCTCCTTCATCCAAACACATTGACCTGTAACATCCCTGCTGGCAACACACACACACACGCACACACACACACACACGCACGCACACACACACACACACACGCACGCACACACACACACACACGCACACCACGCACACACACACACACACGCACACACACACACACACACGCACGCACACACACACACACACACACACACCACACACACACGCACGCACACACACACACGCACGCACACACACACACACGCACACACACACACACACACACACACACACACACACACACACACACACACACACGCACACACACGCACGCACGCACGCACGCACACACACACACGCACACGCACGCACACACACACGCCACGCACACGCCACACACACACACGCCACACACACACACACACACACACGACACGCACACACACGCACCACGACACACCACACACACGCACACGCACACACTCACACACACGCGCACACGCACACACGCACACACACACACGCACGCGCACACACACGCACACGCCGCACACACGCACGCACAACACACACACACACACACACAGTAGAACTGCTGATTTGTCTTTTATCAATCACCTATCTTTACTGCAGAGTCCATATAAGGCTCCACATAATCGCACCATCTGTATTCTGGCCCGTCAGAGACAAAGTACTCCATGAAATCAGAAATCTTACACAAATCTAACTGTGCGTAATGTCTGCAGAACATATCTAATAAAGACATTAAAAAAAGCGGCTCATCTTTCAGGGCTATTACTAGCTCAGGTCCTGATTACACAGCTATTTGAAAACGTATCCCTCAGCTTGTTCCCTTTAATTTCCCCCTGAGCTCCCTTAAATTACTTCAGAGAATTGTGTTTTTTCCATCTGCGCTCCCCTCTTTGAGCTTCTGATGATGGATTCATTTCTTTTTATGGTGTGATTAATGGATGTGTTAAGCAAATGGAGGGAATAGTGGTGGTCAGTGCCATCAAACAGTGAGGCTGAAATTTAATGACCTGCTGTCTGATGATAAATCTAAATGGGAAGCCCGTGTGTGTGTGTGTGTGTGTGTGTGTGTGTGTGTGTGTGTGTGTGTGTGTGTGTGTGTGTGTGAGGCTGTCTCTGTGACCCAGTCTGTGTTGATCTGACCACTCCCACTTGTTACAGCTTTCAAGTCATTTTCTATTTGGTTTATAGGCTTTTAAAGTTAGCGTCACTTTTAAGCCTTCTGCAGTGAAGACCGGTGTGCTACGCTGCATTTAATGCGACCTACACGCACACACGCAGACAGGTGTGCCGTACCGACACGCAGTAACGAAAGGCATTAATTAAGACGCAGGTTGAGGCATATGGACGCATGTATTTAATGACCTTACTGTATCTGCTCAGTCTGGGTTTTAGAAGTGGCCCTGCAGGAAGATCGCAAACAGATGGTATTAATATTCCAGAGGCTAATTTCACAACAATTAAAGACACAGCAAGACATTAGCATCTAATGAAACATTTAAACTACTAGTAAGTGCATCTGCCATTAATTTCCACCCAGTGAGGTCTTGTTTTCCTCCAATCTGTTCTGTGTTAGGGGGATAAAGTTTTTTCATCCTCGTCTCTTTTACCAGACTGAATTTATTGGAGGAGAGAATCAACAACTGCTTCCAATCAGCAATAACTCAGCGTGGTTCAGCCTGCAGGTTATGATATATTATTTCATGTTCGCTGCATAAACAGAAAGAAATTCAAATGCACTGGTGTTTCTACTTAAGGAGCTGTTTAAATTGTTATAGCCACACCTTGTCTGTTCACTGGTGACGGAATAATTACAGAGTCGTTCATGTCTGAGTTTCGCACACGGACGAGTGAAAGTTTAAAACAGGGTTACAGAGACAAACAGGCACGATTTGTCATCAGGTTTTAATTTGATGTATCCGTGTGGGATGATGCTACAGTAGCACCGATTCTAATATATCTAAACCGTGAAGCATTCATTTATAAAGACAAACAAAATATCACTACACAAACCTTTGTACCACAACTGAATCAATTACTTAATAAAATGTTAAACTAACAGCTTCAGTTCTTGCTCCAAATATAACAAACCAGTGAAGAGCAGTTTACAACTGTTCAGCATGATCTTAGATATAAGTGTGACTTTACTGGTATTCATCAACATTAGCTTGAATTATTATTGGAGGCTGAGTTTTGTTATTGTTGATTATTCTCATATTTTTCCAAATCAGACATTATGCCATATTTGTTATTCTGTTTCCAGTTTCACTTGTTCTTGTACTAGTCTGGTCTCTGTCAGGTTACTGTCTGGGTGTTTAGTTGTTTCCTGCTGGTAGTCCTCCGTCTCTGTGAGCTCTATTTAGTTTTACTAACACGCTGTCTTATCTTGATTCTTTTCACCTTCATGTTCACCCTCCCTGATTAGTGTGTATTAAATGAACAAACCTGGTTAAGGGTCCTCAAGGCACTCATGACTCACTAGTTAGCTTGACAGTTCTTCACTTTGAGCTCACCACCTAGCTAACTGTGACAGAATTAGTGCAATTTACATTTCCGAGTGTTGAATTAATAAAACCGACAGTTGTGAAAAGTTTGAACCGCACCTCAACAGCCCTGACAATCCTAAGTCCTGATCTCTGTGACTAAGACCTCCCTCTTCATAATTTGTGTCAAATAGATAAATAATAAAATGAGCTCTGCTTATGTTGAGCTGCCCACTGAAAACAAAGATTTTTGTCTCGATGATGCAAATCTCAAACATAACAGACCAAATCAATACTGAAGGTCCCAAAGCCGACAGTGAGGTTACAGCGCTGAACGAAAGTGATGCAGATTCTCTGCGCACGGCTGAAACACCTCATTTAACACGGTTACCCTGAAACGAACACTAAAGCAGCTATTACAACATTGTCTCGAACATGTGGAGTCAATTATTTTCTCACTCACTGAAAAGTGCTCACCATCGCCATAGTGGAATTTTACAAGTGTATTGACCTATTCTCGAGGGCTGCACTACAGACTCAATGCAATCAAGCACAAAAGTAGGCCTGCTAACATTTCTAACCACAAAGGCCTTTTTAAACAGACCCATACACAGCTGACCTGCCCCGGCAACTCCGCCCCCCACCCCCATCTCTTATCCCACAAAAAAGAAAAATAGCCGGAGCGCTGTGCTCGGTTTTCTACTGGCCTCAGTGGAATTCTGTAGCCATCAGCTCCTGGTTTCCCTTAGTTACGCACAACAGCAGCTGGAGAGCTCGGCGGTAATAAAACCTGGAACAATTTAACGGCTTTTATTGTTCTTCTGCGGCTTTCACAACAGCTAACCTGTCCTCGCAGGATCTGCAGGGAGAATCCCACTAGGGCAGCAATGAAAGAGGATCTCATTTACCTAAAAGCGCTTATAAATTTTTAATTTGCTTTAACAAGTAAATTAACAAGTCCCTCATTTGGGAAGTTTTATGGCTCCTTGCCACTGAGGGAGAACCATGAATGTTTTATAGATAATCCACTACCTAGGCTCTGTTGCTGATAATAAATTGTCTATTTCCTGCAGCACTGTCAAATCCCCTCAGTTCGCACTGACTACACTTTGAATATCTCCTTTATGCTACCTTCAGAGGTCTATATACCGAGGCTATTAAAGGGCTGGGAGCTTCACGACTCAGCAGTTAACATGAACAACGTGAAGAAATTCCTCTCGACGTGACTGCAGCCTTAGGATGCACCATTTCTAAACGTTAAACCACATTAAGCATGGCTAATTATGCCCCGACC